TAGTAAATATATAAAATTTTAACATTAAATTTAAGTGATTAACCAAAAGTTTGAAAAATTAAATAGCACGCATATGGTTATTATTTATGTATATTATCGCCCAATAATTAATATAAATAAATAACAAATATATGACATAATGAAAGATTAATGATCTAATTAATAATTATATTACGAATATAATTCGAAACCAAGTTTGGGTACATAAATTGTAGGTTAATATTATTTTTTAGATTATTCTACTTGATATATTTTTCAAAAAAAAAAAGTGATTAGTTACCAAAATAAAAAGACATTATTTACAAATAATTCTATGACGAATTGAATTTGAAACTAAGTTTGGATAAATTAAACATGTATTAATATGATTTTCCAGATCATTCCATTCAGATTAGTTACCAAAATAAAACTAAATTAGTTACCAAATAATTATTTTACGAATTGACGAAGCATGGATCTGCACGGTGCCTTAGGACGGGCGACGATGATGATATAGGCGGCGGCGGACGGCCTAAAACCTACAAGACAGCGCATCGGGGGTCTCCCGATGGTAGACTCTCTGATGCTTACGTCAATAAGGGAATAGAGAGAGAGAGGTTGTGTGCGTGTGTACAAGAGAGGTAGGAGATGGATAGAAGATATGAATTATGGGAGAGAAACAACCTCTTTATATAGAGGTGGTGTTACCTATATGTTTGGATGCTCGATATGCAATAATATGATGTATGTATCAAAAAGATATTATCATATGATATAAGTAATATACTTATAACAAGAATAGAAGTTTATAGTCTTAGATTCGAGAAGCATAGTTAGAAAAGATTTGAGAAATACCTCGATTTTGAGTTAAATTGATTACTCGAGAAGGTGTTACATCGATTCCGAGAAAGTATTATTTGAGTAGATGAAAGTCGAGATACGTCTTCTCGAATATTTCGAGTAGTAGTAAGGTGCTCGAGGGATGTTTGCCCCTTCGAGGAGATGTATCTCTCGAAACTCCAATTTTCGAGATTGCCCCTTACTAATTTCCAAAATTTTGAAATCTTTAGGGACCAAATTTTATTAAATAAAATTATTAGGATTAAGTGGCAATTCTCAAATTGAGGAATTGTTCTCGGCTGAATATTCTACCCTTTTTGATGGATTTTGAACTCCAGGGACTATTCTTCTCGATCAGCTGTGGAGCAAGTGCTGCTCCTCGAATTATTTGTGCAATCGAAAGGTTCTTTGTGCTACTTGTCGGCTGACGTATTTTTGGCCGAACAAAGCTAATTTTTTTAGTGATCTTTTAGTTGCAAAATATGAGCGATGAATTAATACCGTGGCTGCCAAAGATACAAAAGATTCGTTGCTTCGCTAAGAAATTTATTTGGTTGTGAACACCAAACAACTCGCTCCCACTGGGCGTGCCACTTGACGAAGTATGGATCTGCACGGTGTCTTAGGACAGGCGGCGATGATGATAGATGCGGCGGCGGACGGCCTAAAACCTACAAGGCAGGGCCTCGAGGATCTTCCGAGAGTAGACTCTCCAATACTTAAGTTAATAAGGGAATAGAGCGAGAGGTTGTGTGCGTGTGTATAAGAGAGGTGGGAGATGGGTAGAAGATATGAGTTATGGGAGAGGCTCCACCTCTTTATATAGAGGTGGTGTTACCTATTTCCTGAAACCCTAGTGTAATAGGTTTAGGCAGTGGCTCAATCTCCAAGTAATCTAATTCTAGGCCCAATAGGCCTAGGGTTTATTTTGGACTCGTCACGAATATAGTTTGAAATTATGTATGGATACATTAAACATAAGTGGATATTATTTTTCAGATGATACCGTTAGATATAATTTTCAAAAATAAAAAAAAATTATTTACTAAATAATTATAGGGATAAGGACAAAGCTTCCGAGTTATTTCCTGAAAAATAATCAACCCTTTAAATTTTTTAAAAGGGCAAAAGGTCCCCAGAATTATGTCCAAATGGACAATATCACCCTAATGCCAGTGAATAGTTTCCCACTTTGATTATTTAAGTGGAAAATAAAAATTGAGTCAGATGAAAAAAAAAAGGCAATTTTAAAATAAATTTTGAGAATTACTATTTTACAATCAATCTTCCACACTTCCTGTCTCTTTTAAAACAATCCAATTTTCGTCTAATATATTAGCAATTAAACGTCACACATATCTATAAGTGTAAAACCCTTTGCGTACTTTTTTTTTTTTTAAGTTTGACATTTTGTACAGATTGTAACCATTTATAGATGTGCTAATTCTAGAGCAATTTTCACTTCTTTTTTTTCTTTTTTCTATACTTTTAAAAGTTTTGTATACTCTATTATATAGTTCTTGGTGTTTTTTGTCCTTATTCTTCAAAAATTATAAGAAGTTTTAGGAGTATAATAATAAATTTTAATTTTTAAATTTTTTCGTTTAAAATATTACTATAATTACCTTGAATTTTTAGTACCATCGACCACGAGTTTATGGTGATCAAGGGTGGTTTTTGTCCTTATGAAGAAACTCGAGGGGGATTAGTATTTAGCACAAAATTTGGGGAAAAGAGGGGGAGGAGGGGTTCTCTATCCTAAAATTTCGTTATAAATACAATTAAAAACCAAGTTTGTACAATTAAACATAGATTAATATTATTTTTTATATTTTTAGAAATAAAAAGAGATGAGTTACCAAAAAAATAATAAAAAGATAAGGTCTCATTCTCTCCTCTCCTCTCCTTCCCCTAGCTCCATTTCTTTCCTCCCTCCTCCTCTTCTATCTCAATGTTCTTTTCTTTTGAAAGATATACATTGCCTTCTCTCTCTGTTAAGTTATAATTTAGATGGATATTTTTTGATCTTTAGTTGAAAGCAGAGTTGGATGGGTTTCGATTGATAGGGTAATTTGTATTTTTAATATGGTTTATTCATTGTTTAGAGTGATTTTTATAGTTTTTCTTATGTTGACAAAAGGTTTCTCAGCTAATTCCGATGCGGATGCTTGTTGACAACTTTCAATCTAATTTGTGATTAACAATGAAAACTATGCCGAAAAGGTTCATCAATGGAAAATCTGCTTGAATTCTTTTACTTTGTTTTGAATTGGCAACTCATCATTTTATCTTGTAGTTTATGATCTGGAATTATAAGGAAAATTCACTACTACTGAACATATTTTTTACGTTCGGGAGGGGAGGCATCCTTTTTTGAACTTGCATTATATTTTTCATTTTAAGGATTATTTCTATAGTCTATGATTGGCAAATATTTATTAGTGTGAATGGTCAATTTTTTATTTTTAAACAATCATGAGGGCCTCATTTTATTATGCTTTTGCACTGATATTTTTATAAAATTTTGATGGTTTGAGTTAAAAAATAGTGAAGCATCAATCTCGCTCCGAATGAGCCAGATATATTAAAATGAAATTGCTCATGCTCAAGATTCAAAGGTAAATATATTTTTTGTTTGAGAAATCAATTAACTAAATAAAGTTATTTTAGGTGCATTAGTATCTAGGTGCTTTGTTTTACAGGAGAAGTGTTGTATCATGATGACAAATGAGTGAAATGAGTACCTCAAGAATTACTCATAACTAAGGAAAAAATTTGACGAGAAGATATGGATATGTATCTCAGAATATTTTTTTAAAAATATTTTTTCCTATTGTTGTGTTTTATTTACTTTTGTTGGAATTTGGTTTCAATTTTCTTCATGCCTAAACATATGTATAAACTAATAAACACCAATTCAGCATCCTAGAAGATTCAACATTTGATTTTTATGATATTTATTTTTTCTTAGATCTATTTTGAATTCCATATATATTTTGGTCTTTTGCAAAGTTTTGAGATTTTTTCATCAAAATTTATTTACGGATGGTATTATTCAAATTTATAAAGTAATTAATTTTGTTAAACTATGCTGAAATTTTCATTTTTGTACTATCACCATACATTTATGATAACTCTATTCTTAAGGTTAAAATATTTTTTTGGTTGTCAATATATTAGAAATTAAGTACTTTTTTCTTGAAAATGTCGAATTGCTTCTTAAATTTTGACTTGGAGGTAAAAATGACATCAAATTGATTTTTATAGAATGATTTGTAGAAAACAACTTAATCATGATTTATAACATTTAGTTCAATTCCAACAATAAACAACATATGTATTTTAATTACATTGTATTTTTAGTACATGATTTGATTTCTATTGCTGAAAATAATTTTGATATACTCATAGCCCTAAAAAGGCAGCATATTAGACAGTTGATCATATTAATTTAGTTTTAGAAAAAAAAGCTTGATATACAAATATTATTACATAAATAGCAGATTAGACAGTTGCTCATATTAATTTGTATTTAGAAAAAAATTCACATGACCAAAAAGCATTTTGTCAAAGTGCTAGAGGTATTGGACCAACTTAACAATAATTCAGGATTAAACCGAGCATTAATATGTAGTAGTGATTCTTCATAAAGATTAATTTTTCTAAAGAGATTTTGCCGATTTGAATTCGAATTATTCGGAGTAATGATTTCAAACACCGAGTACATAAGAGTATACAAAAAAACTAAAAAAAAAAAAAATCATGTGACACTCTTACTTTCGGACACCGGGTTCATAATATACAAAAGAAAACGAAAAAAAAAATCATATGACACTTTTCACAGGAAAATAATAATACATGAATATTATTCTAAAATATTTTATAATCCGCACAACGTACAAGCATAATACTAGTTAATTCGTAAAAGAAACATTTAGATTCTAAAAGTTAGCGATTAAGCTATAAACATACGATGTGGGTTAGCCTCGCATCTTCCAAGTCATCCAGAGCCAATTAAATTGGCTAATGTATTTTATAAGTGATGAGAATCTACAAAAAGTTTAATTTTAAAAAGAAAATCAAGTCATTTGTTATACTTTTAAAATAAAAATGTTTACATTAAATGTACTACCAAAACTTAAATATTACAAATCACTTTTTCTAGCAAAGATTGCAAATAATTAAATAGACACCGTAGTAAAATGAACAGGACAAACTTTTTTTGAGCAATTAACATGCAAAAGCACATTATGATTAAGGTCCACCTCTGGTATATTTTGAATGGGTACTTCAAATAACCTTTCCTGATCATCCACTCGGCTGGCCCTGCCATTTCTGGATTTTGATTGCTTGATGCAAGATCCAAACTGCTTATTATTGAGGTTATTTGAAGCAGACGAAGCTTTAAGTTTCTTCATCTTCATCATAGATATCCTTTTCTTTCTTGCTTCTGCTGATTTTTTTATCCGTTGGGCGTCATTGTGGGTAAGGCCTGTTTGTCTCTGAGCAGAACCCGTCATTGTTGAAGATAGCGTCCATCCTGCAAAATGATTACAAAAATATAACTCAAGAATGATTATATTTTTAGTTCACCACAGTGAAAAGTATTGAAAGTCTCTCTGATATTAATATGTAAGTATTATATTAAGTAGCTACATAAAAATGTAAATTGAATTATATTTTGAAATATGAGTAGATGATAATAACATGTGAAAAATCGTCTCTCTTGTTTTAAAAGAAAAATCTTTTTAAAATAAAAAACATATTGAAGACATTACCCTACATTGAAAACTGTAAACCAAATTGTAAACAACATTGAAAATTGTAAACCAAATTGATCACCATTTCCCTATTTATCAATTAATTTTAAAACGAAAACTACACGTGAATTTATGTGAGGGACGCATTCTAATTTTTACTCTTCAAAGGTAAAAATAAAAAAGGCAAAACCAGGAAGAAATACTACATCTCCTGGGGAAAATATACCCAAGTTAGTTTGTTTCAAAAGCCATGAAAAGATTCTTTGGAAACTAGATTTATCTAGGTTTAAAAATATATTATAAAAATGATTCCCTTTGTACCAAAAAATAGTCTAAAATATATAAAAGCGTATAAAAAAATACATGCAATTTAAGAATAAAAATTGATGATCATCTATATGGTCAACTTAGTTATCTCTATTTTTTTGGGAGAAAAAAATAATTTTTTTTGGGGGGGAGGGGTGGGGTTGGATAAATCCTTAAGTGCAATTTTTTTATGAAAATGAAATGCACGCATCTTTAGGTGTTTTCGAATTAAATTACACTTAAGGTGCAATTCCAAACAATTTTATTATGTCCTTACTATAAAAAAAACTAGATGCTTGGCCCGGACGTCTCTCTACTTTAATTTTGTGTTAATAGATAAATGAATTATTAATTTGAAAAAAATAAAATAGATATAGATTTGGTTTTTTTTCCTTTTTTAGGCAAAAATAAAATAAAAATAAAAATAAAAAAATCATCTGCCAAAGGAGAAAAAATATTGAAAAGTACAACGATACAGAAATTATACAAAAGAATGTGGAGTAATAAAAGGGATAAGTTTATGGGCAAATTTAAATGCTATTTTAATTTGATTGATAAATAATAAATGTTAGGAGTTTAAATTGTGTAGCTATTTTTGTAAAGTAGCTTTTGTTTCTCCAAATAAGAATTTTTTTTTCTTTTAAATAGGGATGACACGCGGGGTTAATGCAATATGGTGCATTTGGAGCCAAAAATTTTTAATAAGAAGCTGTCACATCAACATCCTGTATTCTGCTTTAATACGGTAAAAGAGATTAATTTCAACATACCTAATGCTAACAAATGAAATATATTTAGATATTCCAACAAAACTAATCAAATAAAATAAAACGGGTATGCACTAATTTTTATACAAAAATAAAATAAAGTAATAAGATCAACGGATAATATTTACTTTAAATTTCATGATTAGAATCCATTTTTCTTTAATTGTGTGAATAATTGCCTTGATTAATATCAACATTTATGTATGATCTAACGGAATATAATAATTTATATATATATATATATATTTGCAGGGTATTCAGCGTCGGAAACAGTGACTAATCCCCCTCACTGAATTGTAGGCACCTCAATGAGTGGGGCAACTGGCCAAAGTATGTAAGGTTGTTCCATGTCCATGGCGAGTTTCGAACCCTCGACCAATAGTTAAGAGTGGAAGAGTCCCTTCCACTCCACCACAACCATTTTAGTTAATATAACAAATAATTTTGACATCGAAGCATAAATGGTTACAAATTTAATTTAATCTAGTTACATTTTTACTATTTTAAAGAAATACGAATAGAGTAATGACATGCTCAACACAATAATCCTAAAACATATATATTTATTTATTTGAGATCTTCTCTTCACAAACAACTAATTAATTTTCAATAATAAAAAAATAGTTAAATTAGTTTTTTTTCTTGATGAAATACCAGCATATTATCGACGTCAAAAATATCTCCTCATCTCTTAGAACCAATCAAATAAAAATTTAGGGCATGCAATCTGGATTAAAGTAGAAGTTACACTAAAAACAAAATCTTAAATATATCAAATAATACCAAAAAAAATCATAAAAATTGTCTTATAGATAGTTCTAGACAACAAGTCACTACCGAACTGCCGCCTGCCTGGAAGTTGGCCGGATAAGGGAAAAAAGAAAGAAAGAAAAACCTTAGAATTTTAGAACAATATGATTCACAAATAAATCATGTACAAAATTTGTATGTATTGTTGCGGACAGATTAGAAGATTTGGAAAAACTAACCATTGCTAACGTCAGACAATGGAGCTCTTTGCACGGAATATCTGACCAAACTTGGAAATTTTGAATACAGCATATCTTGTGCATCATATTGTGGCATGATCTCGACGATTCCATGTCGCTGGTTGATGATATTATCTGATCTGTTGGGTGGAATATGGGAGTTTTGATCATGTCGAACCTCAATCCTTTTTCTGGCCATGAGGAATCTTCTCTTGTTTCTTGCATTAGCAGAAATTGCCGAATCCATTTCAAAGGGATGAAAATAATCGGGGCAGTGGGTGATTAATAAGCGATATTCTTATCATGTGCTCTATTGTGGAAGAATGGCTGAATGAAAGTGATAATATGTGGGTCTAATGGTTTCCAAACCCTAGATGTGAAAGTGTTATATTATTTGCGGGAATACTCTGCAACATCACATATCTTGATTTTTATTTTTTTTGGTCTAATTTACTGAATATCTGTGGAAAAATTTATATTATGATAAACGTTACCCTTATTATTATTATTATTATTATTATTATTAATATTATTATTTGTCATATTGACGATCGGATTATCATTAGCTCTTTAATGAATGCGACACTATTAACTAGTAACTCCATAAACTTTAAAAATAAGGCAACCGGTTAACAGAACTCCATCGTTGAGTTATTGTATTTCTCGAAACCTTGAATGTCAATAAACAAACGATTTATTTAAAAATTATAAACAGTAATTATCTTAACATTTATCTCGATTTCTGATAAGCCATATTAAATTAACCAAATCGCGTAACTATTAGAACCACAATAATTATGATAGAGTATATATACCCTCCGTCCTATAATTATTTTCCAGTTTACTAAAAAAAATTTGTCTCAAAATTATTATCCGATTTGACTTTTTATGGATTAAATTACACATATGCCCTTTAGTCATTCATTAGAACCGCTTCATCCAGCCATTTGTCCCCGTTCAGATGTCCGACGGCGACTTCATCGAAATTCGATGAGTTGACATCGATTAAGGTTGAGCTTGTTGCGGTGGTGGAGGCCGGGATGGAGGATAATAGTAAGAGGTGGAAGATGAGACCTTGGAGGGGTGGGAAATTGGGGCTACCGGTGGTTGATGATATGAGGCGAAATTCGAGAATGAATAAATTTGGGGGAAATGGTGGATGGGATGAGACGGACACCATGAGTTTGGGCGTGGTTTAGGAGCGAAGTGGTGATGAAGCTGTCCACTTTCTTGGGGAAAGTTGTGTAACCCACCACCAAAGTCTTACTCCTCCCCTCGCCGGCGGCCTCTTCTCATAGGCGTGGTGACAAACAAGAGATGATGAATAATGAGGGGAAGCCCAAAAATGAAAACACGCAGACACAGTGAAGTCTGAAAACACAAGGAAGGAGACATTTGGGGCATCAGATTGATGAGAGTGTATATAAGGGTATATCCGGAAGTTTAAGCAAAAATATAGTTAAATTCGACCAAAGATAAATTCTTTTATCTTAGCTAAACTAGACAATAATTGTGGGACGGAAGAAATATCATATATATTCCTTATGATTTTCAAAAGTATAATCATTATGAGGGATAATTATAACTTTCAAAAACCTGTTTATACTGTTTGGGACACTTGGGACATATCTTTTCCAACAAACTCTCTACCCATAAGGTTTTATTAATATGGCAATGATCCGATCAAGTTGATGCCTAATAAATGACGATGACAATCCTCTGTGACCATTTGCAAATTAGTATTTAAATTGGCCCTGCTTTTCCCTGTGATCTTTTGCAAATTAGTATTTAAATTGGCCCGGTTTTTCCTACATAAAATAGTACTCCATCCGTCTCATAATTATCGTCCACTTTGCACAAAAAATTTTGTTCCAAAATTATTGTCCAATTTGACTTTTTATGGATCAAGTTACACATTTGTCTTTAGTAAAAAACATTATACATAAAATCTTAGTGATTAAACAATTACTTATATAGGGATATATCCGGTTGTTTAAGGTAAAATATAGTTAAGTTTGACCAAAAATAAAATCTTTCATTTTAGTAAAACTGTACGATAATTATGGGACGGAAGGGGTATTAGTTTCCTTATAAATCTACCTACTATGTGTACATGTGTGCACGATTTTGATCCCACTGCTTTAAATCAACACGGTGGCTACTTTTGGTTGTGATATAGAATGACCAAAAATGATTTTGATATGAAACCAAAACTTCAATTTCGTTATACTGTTTTAAAAATCATTTTTGGCTATTCTATATCAAGCTTCATTTGTTTCCTTCGTCCAAGTAAGTAACAAAGCAAGATTTAGTCCGGGGTCGAAAAGTCTGACAGAAAGGTTTTCTTTCGCGTGTTCTGTTTGTCTTCTCAGTTATTATCTACATTGTATGTTCCTCTTTGCAAATGCGGGGATGTTTCGTTGCATGAATGGTATATGAGTATATTGTGGAAGCCTTAATTAAATTCGCCAGATTTTTTTGGTTGATTTCTTTCAAATTCTTAAAAATAAATGCTAGTTTTGGTTTTTACTTAGGTGAGTTTTAGAAATAGTAAACTAAATGTTACCCGCACAATGTGCAGGATAAAAATTTTTTTACGCTTATTCTCTCATTAGATATGAATAAATATGATTATAAAATGTAAAACTTAAATCAATTGTTTATTAAAAAAATTACTTCTTTATATACATAATAAACATTCACATAATATTTAATGTCACTGACAATAAACACCTTGTTACATACTAAGAAACGTCACGAAATACTAACAATATATTGTAATACTTAGGAACCGTCTTACTCATCAACTTCAGTGTTGACATTCTGGTCCTTTGAATTTATAGAAATTGTTGACCACCTATGAAAGAGTTTACTGTAGAATATTATCAAATATTGGATAAAGGTTTAGATGAGGGAAAATCTGTATGAAAATAATATGTGACTTTTGTAGGTTTCTGATACTTAATCAAATCAGTTTTCTCCTTAATTAATGAACATCATTAACTTCTAACTAAATACAATTTGTACTCCTAAAAATAAAAAAAAGCTAACCCGAGAATCATTTCAATACAGAAAGTGTATGCATCTCAACTTGTATTCTTATTTTATTTATTGAAATTAGTTGTAAATTTTTTCCTTTTTTTTAAAAAAAAAAAAAGGCTTTCATTTATTCCACACTCTTGAATGAACAGTGTTATTAAGCACATATAGAAAGATGAGATAAAAAATTTTTTGATGAAAATAGTTTAATTTGTAGATGTAACTTTCCATTTTCATTTTATTTTTTTTATTTGTAGATGTAGCTTTATAACTTTTAAATGACAAAATTGTATAATCGAACGGATCCAATACAAAATGGCAACTTTAAGGGAATTAGGATAGTTCAATACATCTTAAATATCAAATAATGAAATACACTTTAAAAATGTTTACACTAAATTGGCAGTATACATAAATCTTCCTCTAGAAAAATTTATTTCAAGCAGGCACTATCTGATTAGTATATATATTCTCATTGGATGTTGATCTTGAAGTGCTTGAGCTGCCCAAATTCCTTGAGCTTCTAAATATTTTTCTTTATCTTAAAAAATGATTTGAAAAGATTGTTTAAATACAATATACTCGTACATAAGAACTCCTTTATTCTTCAAATGCTTGGCCATATTTTAAAAACTAATCTTCAAATAATACATTTTCAAGAGCCGCTTTTTCCAAGCCTAAGGAGTATCCAATTTTCTTGGTCATGAAGTTTATAACAATATTTCCCCGCATTTTCCTACAAATCATAAATAAAATTTAATTGGACATAAAGCACATAATTAGATTGCAAGACGAATAGATGATAAATGACTTATTTACGTATATCTGGGAGCCGGATTCTTTTCCGCCAATATATGACAAACAACAATAGCGAATAATGTGACAAAACCAAAAACATAATACACGCACTTCTAATATATCCATCTTTTTTTTATCAACCCCATTGGATCACTCATTTTATTGTAGAGTAATTTATAAGCGAGATTTCTAACGGTGCTCGAGGAAATTCGATTCTAGTAATGTGTAACCCTTCTAATTTCCATCATACAATAAACATCATTGTTTTTAATATTTTGGACATATTAAAGCTAAAAGACATGTCTAAATTTAAAATATTCATTCTTTACGTGCCATTCACATGTCCTCAAAGAGTCAATTATAACCGCAGTATGAGACGGTGAGATCATTAAGTCTGAAAACTTGGCAGAGAGAAGTTGATCGGAAAATAGATCGTACGGGTGCAACGCCGGAGACAATGACTATGGCTATAAACAACCCCTGGAGCCCAGTTTCGAGTGCACCATATCCATCTATTACAAAATTGTCACAATATGAATAGTAACAAGTAATCGATCATACAATTATCATCAAATTAATACAACGTAATAAACTTACAATAGAATCAATAAACGGGAATATTAAATCAGATGAAAGGCTGATTTACCCGTTCTTTACTCCATCGGTGGTACTACTACCTTTACCGGCTACCGTTATTTTACAGTGTTAAGGGGCTATGGCTGCCCAAGAAAAGATTGGCGTGGATGGGAAATTTGTATACTGGTGTCTATTAAGCCTCCATTAATGCCATTGTGATAACATTGAAGTTAATTTGCCCTATATATTAGGATAATATTATTTTATAAAGTTGACTTTTTAAGGATTAATAATTTACACCAACCAAGAGATTTTGATAATATTTTCTAAGGTTTATTGATTTGATTTAATTAGATTATTAATAATGATTGATTTGTATGAGTAATTATTACATTCAATCTTATCTTAAAAATTCAAGCACTACTTTTTTTTTTCGATAAGAAGTGGGGGAAATTGGGCATAATTACAGGCAATTTTTTTTTTAACTTTTGGACAAAAAACAATCAAATTAATTGTTGATTGATTCATCAATGTCATTAATTTACTATTCCTTTTTTTTTTTTTACTTTGGGACAAAAAACAATCAAATTAATGTTGATTGATTGGTTATAAGGAATTTTAATTGTTCATGATTTGGTTCTTAAATTATACATATTCAATTAACCGTCCATTAATATAAATGGGTTTAGGATAAAAATTTTTCCCATAAATTCTCAAGAACTTGTTGTGTAATTGTATAAACTTTTTTTGTGAGATTTTTTATAAAAATGTCACATAGAATTTTTTCCTACGTGTCAACATAAAAACTCTTCTTGAAACCTATCTCTGGTTTCT